TGGGATTACTTTGCAATAGCGACTACAGCCGCCAGCCCACCTGGGATAAGGCAGCAAAAGAAATAAAAATATAAAATATTTTTAAAAAAATAAATCCTGGGATTCACTGAATCCAGGAAAAAATCCCTGGGATTCACTGGGAATAGCGACTACAGCCGCCAGCCTGCCTGGGGTAAGGGAGCCTGGGAATTAATTAATAATAATAGAACAATAAAAGAATTCACTGGATCCTGGGAAATAATCACTGGGATTTCCTGAATACTTGTGAAAAAAATCCCTGGAAATTCCTGAGTCCCTGGGGAATCCCTGGAATCCAAGAATTCCCTGGGGTTAAAGGATCACTGATCCATGGGGTGGGAATTACCTTTAAGTTTCCTTCCAACCCAAAATTTGGGGATTTTAGGATTTTTTTCTGATTATTTTTCTTTGAGATAATTCCAAAGGGAGTGGGAATTCCTGGGAATTCCCAGCCCTGTTCCTCCCATCCCATTTTCCAGGGCACTGCTTTTACCAGCTCTACTCCCGGCTCCGGAATCACCGCCTGGATTGTTTCCAGCACTGCCCCAAACCCTGCAGGTGAGCCCCAGAAATCTCAGCTCAAATTTCAATTTAATGCTCCCAACTTTTTAAAATTTAATTTAAATTAAAATTAAATTTATTCAATGTTTCTATATTTTTCTCATTTAAATTTAATTATTTAGGTTTATTCTATTTAATTCACATTTAATTTCACATAGATGTATTTCTCTCTATTATTTATATTTATTATATTTAATTATTCAGGATTTGTTTTGTGAACTGAATTGGGAAGCTTTTCCCAAAGGTTCTGAAGAGCTGCCATGGGAATTTTCTGGATTTCTGGGAATGCTCCCGGGCAGCTCCTGGTGCTCAGAATTCCAGGTTTTCCAGAATTCCTGGTTTTTCTCCCCAGGGAATCCCTGTACAAGGTCTCAGCTGGCACAGCAAAATGGCCCTCGGCAAAATCCCAGGTACTGCAAAAATTCCAATAACAAATATTCCAATAACAAATCCTCCAATATCAAAAATTCCAATCACGAATATTCCAGTAGAAATCTCCCAAAAATGAACATTGCAATTACCAATATTCCAGTATCAAATATTCCAATAACGAATCTCCTTGTGACAAACATTCCAATGTCAATGGTCCAATAATGAACGTTCCAATAACAAATATTCCATTAAGAATATTCCAATGGAAACATTCCATTAACAATGTCTCATTAACAACATTCCAATGCCAAACTCCTATTAACAATGTCCTGTAAACAATACTCCAATGCCAGCATTGCAATAATAAATATTCCAATGCCAGCATTCCAAGAATAAATATCCCATTGATAATATTCCAATGCCAATATTCCAATGCCCCTTTCCAATGCCAATGTTCCCATGGCAGGACTGGGTGCGCCAGGCTCTGCGGCACCAGAACGGCTACAACTCCAGCAGCAGGTAAATCCTGGGCTCACCCCAATCCTGGGCTCACCCCAATCCCAGTGGGGTCTGGGACGGGTGGGGAGGGCAGCAGGAAATCCTGGGCTCATCCCAGTCCGTGGGGTCCGGGATGGGGAGGGAGGCCAGTGGGAAAACCTGCAGGATCATCCCCAAAAAAATCCCAAGAAACCCTCAAAAATTCCCAATAAATCCCCAATAAACTCCCAAATAAACCCCCAATAAATTCCCAGTAACTCTCCAAAAAACGTGCCCCAATCCCAGCTGGGAATGCCCTGGAACCAACGGGGAACTCCCCCCAGCCCCGACTGGGAACGCCCCCCACTCCCAACCTGGGGGTGCCCGGCGTGCCAGCTGTGCTGTCCCTGCAGGAGGGACATTGCCAAGGTCACCATCTTCTACCGCCAGCTCAGCTCCCAGGCTGTGCACGAGGCCCCGCTGCTCTCAGTAGGTGACAGCTCCTTTTTATTCCCTTTCCATGGAATTCCTGAGAGTTCCAGCAGGAATAGATTCATAAAATTTGATTGTTTACCTTTATTTTTATAGTATATAAAAGTATATCTGTTTATTCATATGATAATATTAATTATTAATTACCACAAATTATTTTAAGCTTTATGATAATATTAATTATTAATTACCACAAATTATTTTAAGCTTTATTTTTACCTTACATAAAATATATATTTGTTTATATATTAATTATTAATAGAATTTTATTTTTTATATTATATAAAATATGTATACTTATGTCTATGATAATATTAATTATTCATTAATAGAAATTATTTAAGCTTTATTTTCATTATATAGAAATATATCTATTTGTTTATTTTATATTAATGATTAATTAATAGAATTTTATTTTTATTTTATATTATATATGAATATATATACTTATTTATTGTATTAATTATGAGTTAGCTCAACTCCCAGGCTGTGCACGAGGCCCACAGCAGAATTCCTGTTCCCAGAGCTCAGATAAATAAAAAATCAGGGGTTTTTCCAGGAGAATCTGCTGCTTGGGGATTTGGGATTGGTTTTGGTTTTTCGTTTATCGGGAAAATTATCCACTGATCCCATATGCTCCAAATATGGGTGTGAGGAATAGGAAAAACATAGAAAAATCAAAATAAACGCCCAGAGCTGTCCCGTACCTGATGCCTTTGGGTTTTCCAGGAGAACCTGCTGCTGTCCAGCATGGGCAGCCAGTGGAGCCTGTGGTTCGGCTCCTCGGTGCTCTCGGTGGTGGAGATGCTGGAGCTGCTCCTGGACACGCTGGTGCTGTCCCTGCTCTTCTGCCTGCAGCGCCTCCGGCCCGGGCGGGGCCCCGGGGGCTCCGGGGAGCGGCGGCAGCGGCCGGGGAGCGGCCGGGAGGGAGCCCGGGGGGCGGGACGGGGGCGGGAGCTGGAGCTGGGACAGCTGTGAGGGGCTGGGGCGGCAACTCCCAAATGCTGGGGGAGAGTGGTCCTGGATGGAGAGCTGGGGGCGGCAATTCCCAAAGTCTGGGGGGCGAGGGGTCCTGGATGGAGAGCTGGGGGCGGCAATTCCCAAATCCTGGGGGGCGAGGGGTCCTGGATGGAGAGCTGGGGGCGGCAATTCCCAAAGTCTGGGGGGCGAGGGGTCCTGGATGGAGAGCTGGGGGCGGCAATTCCCAAATCCTGGGGAAGAGGGGTCCTGGATGGAGAGCTGAGAGGCTCGGAATTCCCATATTCTGGGGGAAACGTGACAGGGACATCCTGGATCCATAGCCGGGAGCTCCCTGAGCATTGGCAGTGCTTGGAACTCACCTGGACTCTGATCCCCGCTGGAATTCCCGAAAACCTCCTGGAATTCCCAAACTCCACCAGGCCCTGATCCCACCTGGAATTCCCAAACCCCTCCTTCCCTCTGGAATTCCTGCTGCTTTTGGATTTCCTGGGTAATTCCCACCAACTCTGACTGTTCCAGAGGGAAATAAAGAGAAAAAAATGCAGGACTGGGAATTGTTCGGGTCCCAGAAAAACCCTCTGATTCCTGTGGAATGCTGTGGTTTTATTGCAGATAACAGAGATAATGTTAATTTTTGTTAATATTTGTTAATATTTGTTAATTTATCTGTACATAAAACAGAATAAACTTTCTTGTTAATGGGGATGTTTGCACAGGAGCATTTTACTCTCTTGCAACCCACACACTTTGGTTTTTTAAATTATGTTTTAAATAATAAAATGCTCTGAAAACAAATTTTGACCTTTTTTTTAAAAATCCCAGATTTTTGTGTGCCATTCAGTGCCCCACAGCTCAGCCTGGAGAAGGAAAAGGGGTTAAAAATGCAGATTTTAGTTAATCCAGCAAGAAACCAAGCTGAGAAGGAGGAGGGAAGGAGTTTTTATCCAGATTTTTATTAAGAGTGCTTCAAGAGACCAGAGAAAGGAGAGGGGAAAAAAGGCAGAGAGCACAAGAAAGAGCTTTGGAATTGTACAAAGGTGATTACAGAGAGAAAATCTGAATTTCCAGAGGTGCAGGGAGGGGAAGGGTTAAAAAATCCTGGTGCAAAGAGAGCGGGGAGGGAGGAGAGCAGGGGTGGGAGTTTAATTTTATTTACAGCTGAGGGCAGAGCCTCGGGCTGGCCAGAAACCTCTGAGATGGCAAAAACCCCTGTGAGATAGCAAAACAACGTCTGAGATGGCCTAAAACCCCTCTGAGCTGCTCAGAAACCCTCTGAACTGACCAAAAAACGTCTGAGGTGGCCAAAACCCCCTCTGAGATGGCCACAAAAACGTCTGAGGGGGGCAAAAAGCACTCTGAGAAGGCCCAAACCCCTCTGAGAAGGCCCAAACGCCCCTCTCACATAACCAAATAAGGCTTCTGGCCCAGCCAAACCCCTCTGAGCTGGCCCAAGGGGGTCTCTGGCCCAGCCCAGGGATCTCTCCCTGTCCCTGTGGTGTCCCCAGGTGCCACCTCTGGGGCAGCAGCATCTCCACCGAACCCCTCTGTGCTGGTCCCGCCCTGGTGTCCCCTCCCGGTGTCCCCTCCCGGTGTCCCCAGCGGGAATTGCAGGCACGGCCCAGCCCGGTGTGAGGAGCCCATTCCCAAGTGAGCCCCGTTCCCGTGGACATGGGGACATGCCACCCATCCTGGAACCTCCCAAAAGCCATTTTGTCCCTCAGCCCCTCCATCCCCGGGGCTGTCACCAGGCCTCGGTGTCACCTCCCGGCCCCTCTGAGGGACACAGGGCAGGGACAGCAGCAGGAATTGCCGAGGAACCCCAGAACTCCAAAACTCCAACCAGGAATTGCTGAGGAACCCAAAAACCCAATCCAGGAACTGCTGAGGAACCCAAAAATCCAAACCAGGAATTGTTGAAGAACTCAAAAACTCCAACCAGGAATTGCTAAAAAACTCCAAAACCAGGAATTGTTGAAAAACCCAAAAATTCCAATCAGGAATTGTGAGAATCTCCCAAACCCAAACCAGAAATTGGTGAGGAACTCAAAAATCTCAACCCAGGAATTGCCAAGAAACTCCAAAACCCAACCCAGGAATTGCTGGGAAACTCCAAAATTCCATTTTCCACCCACGGCAGGAATTCTGTGCATTCCCTGAGCAGCTCCTGGGTTTTTCTTGCACAAATCACAAAATTTTTGCTGTTCCTGATCCTCATTTTGGTATTTCCTGATATTTTTGATGTTCCTGATCTCTCAATCCCAAAATCCTCCCTCCAGTTCTCTCCTGGAAGCTGCAGGATGATTAATTAATGATCAATTAATTAATTTGATGATATCAGAGGTATTTTCCAACAAACAATTCCATCTGATGCCTGGCCCAGCTCAGCTTCTCACACCTGGATTTTTGGTTAAAGGCATCAAATCTTCCAATCCCATTATTTTTTAAATTTTTTTCCTTTAAAATACTCCAAGAAATTTCCCAGCTCAGAGGCAGCAAGGCTGGAATAACCTGAAAAAACCCTGGAATATTGAAAATCCCAGCTGGAATCAGAGATCCAAACCCAGACTGGATCCAAGTCCAGGCACTTGGGTTAAATAAAGAGAGAAAAATTCCCCCAGATCCCAAGAAGTCCCAAGGATGAAGGATCCTGGTGGCTGAGGGGTTTTAACTTTTAAATTCCTCCTGTTAAATGTGGTTAAATCCAAGAGAAAACACTCACACCCCCTTGGAAAAATAAAAGATAAAAAAAAAAAAAAAAATCTAATTTAGGGCATCAAAATCTTCCAACCAGGATGGTACAACACAAATCCAGCTGCGTTTCAGGCAGGAAAAAACAACAAAATGTTCATTTTTTCATCCCTCTCAGAGCCTGGAAATGCTCAAATTTCAATTTGAAAATTGAAACTGAATTTTCTATGAGCCTTCCCCACTCTCCCCTCCAAAATTTGGAGCCCACACCCCCCCCAGAACCCCCCCAAGGAGACATAAAAGTCCAAGAAACACAGGAAACAGGGAGAAGTGCATCCTTAACGTGTTTTTCCTGGAGAAATTTTTGGTTTGGGGACTGCAGGGTGTTGGGTTTATCTCAAATTTTGAGGCTTTGAATCCGTGATGGAAACACAAAGGGAAAAAGGGGGGAAGGGAGGAAAATTGGGATGAGGGGAAAGAAAAAGAGGCAATTTTGGAAAAATATTCCCTAAAAACGCTACGGAAAAAATCCTGACATTAAATACAGACCAACTGTATTGAATAAAAATTGCACTAGTCCTCTGGGCACATCAATAATAAGAATAAATTAAATACTTAAACAATTCCACTGATTAAAAAAGACAGCACAAAACCCATAACAAAAGAACATAAAACCCCCCAAAATACTGTCAGGTAGGAAAAGTGCACCAAGTTGCTTTTATACATTGAATCTAAATATTTAAAGTACCAATACAATGTTAAATAAATCCATTGTCTTGCAAGATGCTGCTTTTTGCATCGATATTTACATTTTTTTTCCAACTTCATGTACTTCAGCAGTGAGTCTGAGCTTCCAGGGTGCAGCCTGGCCAGGATTTGTGGCCAGAATTCCCAGAAAAAGTGAAATAAAATGACCCAAAAATGGAAGCTGTGGTTTTTCCTCGGTTCTCAAAAGGATCAGTCGGGTTTTGAACTCCTCCTAAAAAAGCTGGGAAAAGCAGGGGTGGGGGTTGAAAATCAGTTTGGAGTTGCTGTACAGGTTAAAAAATTCAAATTATTCAAATTATGGCCGTGCTGAAATCCACGAGCAGAGCAGAGTGTGAAATTGTCCTGGTGAAAATTGAAAAGTGGTGAAAAATGGTGGAAATTCTTCTTTGCTCTCAAGAGTGAAGAAATTCTCCTTTGCTGTCAAATGGTGAAAATTCTCCACTCTCAAATGTGAAAATTCTCCTTTTTTCTCAAAAGTGAAAATTCTTCACTCTCAAATATGAAAATTCTCCTTTGTTCTCAAGAGGCAAAAAATTCCCCTCCACTCTCAAATGGTGAAAATTCTCTTTGCTCTCAAATGGGGAATATTCTCCACTCTCAAATGTGAAATTCTCCTTTGCTCTCAAATGGTGAAAACTCTCTTCCACTCTCAAGAATGAAGAAATTATTTTTTCTCAGATGATGACAATTCTCCTCCACTCCCAAATGTGAGAATTCTCTTTTCTCCCAAGAGCTCTGAAGGACCCTGAAGGATTTGCGTGGCTCGAGGGGGAATCAGCACCAAGAGCTGCCCCAGGGGTGGGGGCAGCACCAACGGGGAGGGAATTCCGGAGGGATGGGCCAGCCCCGGGCTGGGGTCCAGCAGGGTCTGGGGTCCTGGGGGCTCCGCAGGGATCGGGGGGGTCCTGCTGGAGCCAGGCTGGGGCTTCGGGAGGGCTCGGGAGCAGGATCAGCTCCCAGCCCCTTCCTAACCGTGCCAGGAGCAGCCAGGACTGGGATCCAAAATCCCGACAGACTAACCCTGGTGCCAGCTGCAGCTGGGGACATTGGGAAAGTCTCCAAGCTCCAGGCAGGATTCCAGAGCCCCCTGAGCTCCATAAACCCTCCCAGGACAGGGTGAGACAGCAGCAAAGTGTCCGAGGAGAGCCACGCTCTCTCACTGCAGCTGAGAGAGGAAAAAAAGGAGAAAACCACAAAAACTCTGCTGCTCCTCAGAGCTGGGGAGCTCCAAAGCTGCTGAGCTGCCCCAGCACATGGGGGGATTCCTGCAGGTGGAACTTCCCCCATGGAGACCTGCAGGGAACCCAGAGGAGGCAAATTCCCCATCCCTGGGTGGGACTGGAAGAAGATGGGGACTAGAAGTGGTTTGGTTGGGGTGTGGGGGAGTGGGGTGGGCTCCTTGGTCTTGAGGGTGACTCCCAGCCTGGGATTCTGGGACAATGGGATCTGGGATTCTGGGACAATGGGATCTGGGATTCTGTGAAATTGCACCGAGCAGCTGGAGCTTGTTCCCCTCCCTGCCCCGAGCCCATCGCCAGCGACAGGGATCAGTGCTGCTGCGTCCAGGAATTCCAGTGGGGCTGGAACCCTTCTGGGTATTCCAATGGGATGGGAATCCTTCTGGGCACTGCAGGGGTGGAAGCAGGGCAGCTATGGCTTCGGGCAGCCCAGCAGCCAGGGCAGCAGTCGAGGGGAGCGTGGCCGGTTCAGTCCTGAGAGCAGCGACGGGCGAGGAGCTGGAGATCCTGAATCCTGATCCAGCTGGGCCTCCGGAGCACCCCTGCCCCAAATCCAGCCTGGAGGGCACCTCGGGGCCCTCCCAGGGCAGAGCAGGCTCCAGCCGCCATCCCTGCCAGAATTCCAAGCCAGTTCTTCAGGGACAGCTGTGTCTGCTCCTGGTGTTGGTGGCTCTCCCCTGGTCACAGAAAGTTTTTCCTTTTCTTCTCTTTTTGAATTTTTTTTCCTTTTTTTGTTGTTTTTTTTTTTTTGTGTTGTTTTTTAACCTCTAAGCTCATGTCCCACACTTCCCACACACTCCATGGTCATACCCTGGGGAGGCTCCTACTCCAAAAACACCCTCCAAAAAAATTTAAAAAAATAAAAATCAGCCATCCAGTAGTCAAGCATGAGAACTCAAACCCCACAAGGAAAAACCCCCAGAGGGCAGCTCAACCCTCGGGGTGTGCAGGCATCACAACCAGACCAACCAGCAGGGAAAACACCGAATATCCAAGGGAGGGACTCGCGGGGACCCCGCCCGGCTCCGGGCC